ATGTTGGTAAAATCAGATGTTCAGTGCTTGTATTTATGTATAAACAGTCTGCATCTACTGCAGTGCCTACACTGTTTTTAGAGCTTTGTGAAAGTTAGAAATTGCTCTCCTAGACTTTTGCAGACCTGAAAACATTGATATATCATGGATCCAAATAAAATTTGTAAGAATTTCAATCACATTTTTGGGTTTTAAATAAACTAGAAAAAGGAATTTTGTGAGAGCTGAAGGGGATGAAGGAAATGAAGAAATAAAGGTGATGAAGGCAAGAAAATGAAAGAAAAAAGGTTTGTTTACATTACCAGAATAAAGACCAAATATATAAAGTCTCTAAGGTTAAACAAACTATCTGGAGCTTAGATTTGTTTCTGAGGAAGTAACTTAAAGATAAGAATGGTGGTTCTATAGATATAGAAAGGGCTCTGCAGTTATAGATGTGTAGAAATCATGTGCTCTTAATTAGAGTTCTTTAGCTTAATAAAAAGGGCATGTTTAAAAATGGAAAAGAAATCTGTTTCCAGACATCAGATTGTGTCTACAGTCTAGGGCTTCCTTTACAGCATTTACTCAGGGCATGCTATGCACAGTCTGTGTGTTAGTAGTCTCTGCCTTTTTAAGGATCTGTTTCAGGTTCTGGTTTACATGGGATAGTCCCAATTCCTGTCCCTGCTTTAGGAGAGAGTCCATGGATCCAGTTTAGAAGGGTGCAAAAGGAGAGGCTCATAACACCTGGACGAGCAAAGCTGTGAGGCCATGGCACTTGCAGAAGGAAATACTATGGCGCTTACAACATTTTCCATCCCCACTGACCTCATCTTTTTCTCATTCCCCTTTATTCCTGCTCTTCCCTTTGAAAAGTGACCTGTTATATTTTTACACTGTCTCAATTACTGTGCTTATCTGTTCTTCTCCCACTTTTTTATCTAGTTTTGCCTCCCAAAGCTGTAAGGTTATGGAAGATGTTACAGGATCCTTACTGTGAGGAGAGGGAATGCCAAAAGGGAATGTCTTGAAGCTGGACAATCCAGAAAAGATGGTCATGTTCTCTTTTTGTTCTAGTTGAGCTTTGCTATCTCACTGACCACAGGTGCTTGATAGATACAATTCTGCAGAGAAGAATTAACTTGTTAGTATTAGACCATATGTCCCTCTTAACTGGTAACTAAATAATCAGGGGTACCAGCCATACATCTACCTATAATTAATAAAATTAAACAAAGGAGTAAGTCTCTGGCTTGGTGACTATCTGCAGTATCATTACAATGAAACTATTTTTAATTACCTCCCTATTTTTAATACACACAAGGTAGTGTCTGAGAATGTTCCTACCTCTGCTTATCTGTGCTCTGTACTCAGGCATTTGTCAAGGAAAATATCACCTTTGCTGGGCCAAAACTGTAGCAGGAGTGATGCTAAGGGTCTAAATCTGTGGGACAGTGTGAGACAAAATTCAGGCCCATTGCCAGACTCTGTTTAGCAGGTAGGGAGATAGTCAGCTTCTCAGATGTTTAAGGTGCAGTATGAGGAAGGAGCCCATACACTCCTTCACTGGGATCTTACTTTCACGTTTGTGATTCAAACCTTGCTATTGTGTGCAGCTTCTTTGGAGATTACTAGTTCAATTCTTTGCCTCTGGGATATAGTTCATAGAAATGTAGTTTTCCCTGGAATACCATGGAAGGGTGAGAGTTTGTAGGTTTACTATTAACAATACGCTCATGGCAAGAACAAGCAAGTAAATTTCTAAACATGCAGAATTGCTTAATAAATGCAGCTTTCACTTAATTATCCATTCTTTCACCAGGGGAAAATACAGAACACGTGTTGGGTCTGGCTGAGACGAGTTCATTTTCCCTGGAGCAGCCCTCACAGTGCTGTGCTCTGCACTGAAGGGTGTTGTTGATAACACACCAGCAGTTGGCTGCTGCTGAGCAGCGCTCCACAGCATCAGTGCTGTCTCTCCAACTTCAGCCTGGCACCGGTAGGCTCAGGGTGGGCAAGTTGTTTTGAGGGGACATAACCAGGACAGCTGGACAAGATTGACCAAAGGGATTCCGTAATGTATGATCTCTGCTCAGCAATGAAAGTTAAGACAAAGGAAGTGAGGGGGCATTTATTACTATGAGGTTTGTCCTCCAGAGCAATCACTACATACTCAAGCCTTACTTCTTTGGAAATGGCTGGACATTGCCTACTGGTGGGAAGTTGAGCATAAATCTTTTGTTTTTCTTTGCTTGTGCAAGTGGCCTTTGCTTTTGCTTTATTAAACTGTTTTCGTCTTGGCCCGTAGGTTTTTCTCCATCTTGTTTCTACCTTCGGTCCTGCCAAGGTGGGGAGTGAAAAGAGTGGTGTGATTGGGCACCCGACATCTGTCCAAGGTCAACCCACCACACCACATTACTCCAGTGCCAGCTCACTTTCCTTTTGGAAGTCCTCACACTCTATGTACATTCAAGAAAGCAGTGTTCTTCATTGAGGCTACTATGATTTCTTTTATATGAGAAGGACAAAAATGGTCCAGTTGTCAAGTTCTTTTTCTTCTGTAAATCATCAGAGCCACTGTCAGTTGATTTCTTGATGAGGCCCTTATCAGACGATCAGATTTCTGCCAATTGACTTTGTTTCCAAGGCAACCACTCTCTTGACAAGCCAGTTCCCTTCAATAGTAGGTGACTTATTTTTTATAATAGGTTGATTATATTTTAACAGCATTGTTCTTAATAAGATACTTCTATTTAAATTTCAGTCCTAAATGAGAATGTAAAGATAACAAGCCAAAAGTCTGTGTAACTAAAATGAAGTTGGCAGAGTGGTAAAGACACATAAAGGGATTTTATAATCTCACAGAATTCCTGAATTGTACATATTCCCTAAAGATAAGCCTGCCCATGAACCATTCCCATTTATATAGGTATTCAGTGTATTCATTTTCTGAAAATAATGGAAGTTCAGGTGACTTACGAGGATGTTTCCCAAAAGCATAGATGGTTGTATGCTGATATTCACAGAACAATTTGCTTTCCTACTAATTTGAGTCTCTAAACTGGTGATACTAGTGTTGATACTGGTTTAATCTGTTCAATCTGGTGTTGATCTGTTTAAAAAACAACAGATTCCAGCCCAACTTCTTTTTGAGCACAATTAACATGGTCTTACTCCGCATCTCACACATGTGGTGTTTCTCTCTGGTAAATTAACTCATCCTTTGTTTCAGTGGCTTTTTATATTAATCTGCTTTTGCTTCCAACAAAATTCACAGGATTGTCTTTGTTGTGTTTGTTGGATTCATCCTGGATTTACATTTCCAGGGAAGAGGCACAGACAGGATACAGTTACAGAACTCTTTCTCTGAGGAAAGCAAATTCAAACATCTGTATTCATATAGGCATGTAGTATCATCATGCCTACACACAATTCTGAAGGTACTGATTTCTGAATATAGCTGTGTTTGGTATAAGGTGACTGAAGTTGTTCTCTTGCTTATCCAGTATACTTTCAACTTGTCTTGATTTCAGAGATGGCTGAAACTTGTAGAAACATTTCTGACACTTTTAAAGTTTGTAGGACAAGGCATTCCCAGAAACAGAATCAAATTTTTGTATCTACCAATACCTTGAACTGACTGTAATGTGTGCTCTAAACACCTTCTTTCTTAGAAATGTCAGACAATTTTAGAGAGGCAAACACTTGTCTTTTTTACTTTATAAAGTATTGCTTCCCCAGAGTTGTAGAAATTACTGTATGCGAGATGAAATAATTTCAAGATAGTTTGTGTAAGCATTTGGATTTTGGAGCACTTAAATCCTCATGCTGTAAAATAAAACATTATTCACTGTTAGCCATAATGAAACAACTGTTCCTCTGTAGTGTGGTTGCTTGGGAAATTTCTCACTGATCACAGTGAGCTATGCAGTCCCTTTTGCAGGGAACTGATCTTGCAAGAGCTTTGTCTTTTATTCTGTCCCCATCTGTTGATAGGATGACTTACATCTTCTGTCTGGACTGACAGACAGGATTTAGGCACCAATCCAACAAACTACTTAAACAACAGTTTAGCTTTAAGCCTTAGAGTAACTAAATTACTTGGTTAAAAAAAATTGAAATAGCATTGCCAACACACTACTATCATCTTTAGAAGAGTTCAGGAGATTAGGTTGTATTGGCACATGAACTTTAAATGGAATAAGAAGTGTTAAATTAAACATAGATTAAGACTTTCCTCTTTAGTACAGGAGAAAAGATTCCAGTTTGATAGCAGAGAGTCTACACCTTGTATATTTCTTTTAGACCAGTGCTGCTTGAGTGTGTAGCTAGGCAAACAGAATAAACAACTAAATTTATTATAGATGTATGTAGTAGTTTCCTCTGTCCAAAGAAAAACTGACCATAAAATCAGCAGGAATTATGGCATTACTTTGTAAAACAATAGAAATGGCAACATACCTGTTGTACTGACAGAACTAGTGACCAGTTAGCAATAATTCACTGGCAGACACAGAAATTCTAATATGTACTTTAAAGGTTACTCAGGTGTTTGTTTCTTTGAAAGATCTTCTCATTAAATATCATGAAAGTGTTAATCCTGTCAGAAAAATAATAGTGTCCTTGTGAATGAATGAACTTATAGTTTTAAGCTAATTAAGTTTTATATTCATTTAATGAAGTTGATGGTAAAACAGAAATTATCTCTTTCTGAATTTAGTTCGGTTCATCTTTCATTTTATTGAGCAAGCAGAAATGCTTAGTTTTTGTGTTCCATAATGGTGACCTCTTGTGGTGTGAATATGTCAGTATTTCTGAAGGAGTTTTCTGTAATACATATGGGAGGAGGTTGTATTTACATGTAACTTTTAATGAACAGCTAACTTACTAACTTAGTAAAGTAACATCATCTTTTCCAATTAGTTATTAATATGCACAACTCAATGCATGTGAAAAAACAAGCATTTTGAGCACAGTTTTCTGATAATGCTTTTGTGTGTTCATACTGCTTCTTTTAGTGACCAGATGGAGGAGCCTGGCAAAAAGTCATCTCAGCTGAGGACTTCAGGCCAGAAGAGAAGAGTAACAGGTACAAGGGATTTCAGTCTCCATTCAAAAAGTGTGAAATACAGTCTAATAGAAATAATGTAATTCCTGTGATTTGACAGTATTGTTTATTATTATTCACTGAACTATATTTTTTAGTTTTCTAGATATATTGGGTTTTCTTACTGTTTTTAGTGAAGAGAAACAATATTCAAGAGATCTTCACTCTAAATATCTGTTGGTATTTTCTATCTTGCTTTTCCCATATCTAGGCTTAAGAATTTGCCAATCCATTAATACCTTATTTGTCCATCACTTTTTGTAATCTGTCACAGTTGCACAGAAACTAATAAAATTATGCCAGCCTGCATTATCTGAAGAAACAGATTTTGGATTGCTGTGTAGGGATGCATTTTGCTAATTTTACATAACATATTTTAATAATATTTCCTCATAGCTGGCACATTTCATACATCACAAGTGTGTATTTGAGAGTCTAGTATGGAAATCTGAAGTTTCTACTGTGCTTTATTGTGCTTTATTACTATTTTTCTAGAACTGAGAAATTCTGTTATTCCAGATCATTGTGGCAAAAGCTGCACTGTGCTCTGCTCTCATTTCTTTATGAGAAGCAGAGTGTATTTAGCACGTTATGCAAGTTAGTACACTTACAAGCCTTTTAATTAGTTTTTGCTATTTTATTATTGTTACTGAAAAGATGAAGTGTGTTTTTAGGATTGTTTCTTTTTAAGTCTACTTGTCTTAACATTTTGTAGCTTCCTTAGTTTGTGCATGCTTCATCTTTTATCCCACAGTAAAGAGGGGGATAGCACTAGGAATTCTCCATCATTTCTTCTCTACAATGGGATTCTGGGTGGAGTGTTTATTTACAAATTATTTCTGTTTTCTGATATGAATTGTGTTTATCTTGACATTTTAGAAAGGAGGTAGACTGTTTCAATATTGATCTATTCGTGGCCACTCAGTATTCAGTGAAAAGGCTAAACATTATAAGTCAGGCAGTGCTCAGCTTTTGAAAGCTCAGTGTTGCTAAGGCTCTTGTATTTACATGCTAAAAACAGCAACCAATAAATGTAGACTGATTAGTGATTTTTTTTTTTGACCAGAATGCAAAGCTGCGGTTAAGACCTATTGAAAACTGAGACAGCCAATTTGAACTTGCTGCATTCTTTTGCCTTCAGTATTTTTTCTGTTGAATTGTGGTTTGCTCTATTAGAAAGTTCTGGACAGCTTCTGCAATATTTTAAATATAGCTAGTACTCTAACTTTTCATCAGCAGCTTAAAAAATCTCCCAGTACTGAGACACATACAATTTAGTAATGTTGCTTTACTTGTATATTTGTGTATTGTCTGGTCATTCTTACTGCTAGGTTTAGTACTGTTTAGTAAAAGCTAATGATCTTCTTTTTTATTTAGGTATAAGAGATAATTATATTTAGATATAAGGTATACCTTATTCAGATATAAGGTATTATTCGTTTTTTTAAAAATTATGCCATTATGACTTTCAGTTTGCTGTATTCTTCTGATGAATATGAGACAAGGGAAGCAGACTAGTACAAAAAAGCATTGTTTTTTTCATTCTGAACTGAAAATTAAATGGATTTGGTAATTTTTTTTAAAGTGAGAAGTTTGGCTCTATCTGCAAATGCATGCCTGAAGTTTTCTATTTCTTGACTAATGAAGTTAAGTATATGTGTAGTTAAAAAGTCAGTTCCATCTTTCAGTTTAAGAGAGGTAGCTACAGATAGAAAATAAAAGAAATAATTGAGTCAATATGTGGGTTTTGTGGCAGGAAGGAAGTGTGCACGCTATTGTAGTGTTCTCATTTCAGCTGTACTTTTACATTATCCTAGAGCAGAATTTTCGTTAATTTTCAGAATTTACATTATCTGGAGCAGAATTTTCACTTCATTGCAAACACTGCATAGTGTTTTATTAATTAGGCTACTCATCAATTTAAATAAGACTGTCAGCTCATTTGATCTACAAAATAAAAATGCCATGCAATATAGTAAGAATAATATTTCCTAATAACATATACTTATATATAATATATAAATATATATATATATATATAAAATATAGTGTATTACTTATGAAATAGCAGCATTTTTAGTAATCTTTTGAAATAGGTATATTTGATAGATTAATTGTGTGTAAGATGTAGGTAGACAGTTAATATAGACCAAAAAAATGAGTCTTTTGGTTATTTTCTAAAGAGCAAGTTTTTAAAATCGGAAGTTTTTAATTGTTTTACTTTTCCAAGTAATGCCAGTAGACAGTCACTGTTTTAAGGTCTGACATACTTCCTTGTGATGCAAACCTCTTATTATTGGTGTCCTCAGGTGGTATAGTAGTTTTTGTGGTCCTTCACATTTGTGTTAGGAATTTACATTGTCCTTTAAATGCAAGAGCTAGTAATGAACAACAGGAGACATTTTCAGACAAATCCGTGACTTAAAGAAATGTGTATAATCCAGTCTTAATGGCTTTCTTATTTAGTAGAGTTGTGTGACTTTTATTTCCCTATTAAAAAAACCTCAAAGCAAAAACAAATCAGCAAAGCAGATCCTGTCTTTATAACAACTTTTCTTGCCTGCAAGATAAAGAGCTTAACCCAGTCTTTAACTCCAAACACATGCCTACATGTACCTTGTAAGCAACTGTTAGATCCTTTACATCTTGATTTTTGCAGAAGCTCTGGTTCTCCATCTGTAGTGGCCCAATGGTCAAGGCCAGAGTTTTGTCTCTTCACAAAATACTAGGTGGAGGTGTAAAGAATGTTCAGCACATCAGAATAATTCCCAGTGATACTGCATCCATGTGAAAGTGAATCCTGGATTGCATTTTTTAATAAATCATGTTTTCACCAACTTCCTTGTCCAATCTGAAAACAGATCCATGCTCCCAGTCTTGCTTCCAGAAAAATTCTAGTCCACTGCTTTTTAGGTCTACCAATTTTTGCCTTCATGTCTGTGTTCCTTTTTTTTCGTATTTTCTTTTTGAAGCCAAGCATAAAAAGGCTTAAGTATTTTTAAAAACGCTCGTTGTGAGGTGGACAAGGTTTCTGATAGTGAAAAGTAGCTTTTTCTGAGTCACAGGGGTATTTGGCTGAGGGCAGCCAAGAACAGTGGGAGTCAGTTGTCTTCAAGATTTCTGACATGTTTTTTTGGAGACAAATATCTTTCACATATCTATAGTTTACTACTCATTTCAGAGGTTGCCGTGTGTCAAACTGCTGAATGCAATGAAGAACAGGAATAAACATACATTTTATAAAAGTTTAGTCATGAGGTTCACCAAACTAATTGCATGAAGTAGTTAGAATTGCTAACAGGATGTAATAACTAACAGGACTATTCCCTAACTGGCCAGTCAGTTAATCAAGCTTAGTGTTATATCATACATATGTTCTAGATAAAATTCTACAATCTTAGAGGGTTGTCTGTAGTATGCATTTTTTTAAACAAATCTCGTGAGCACAGAGTTGAGAAATAGTAGGAGACTTTGATGTTTAAGTAGTCATTACCTTCCAATTCAGTGATCAAATGAAACATTAATGTCAGCAAACAAAAGCTTTACAATACAGCTTTACATATCAAACCGCTTATCTATCTAGTTTTGTTTGAAATGTTTGTTTTTGAGAACATGTAAATAGAAATAAAATCATTAATTCATAGAATAACCCAGAATATAGCAAAATGTGATGTTTTAGATTTTTTTCTGACTAATGAATAAAGTATTTGTAGCTATTTATTATTGTAGAGAGTGAAACCTTCACTGAATGTGTGCTTTTGTTTTGAATGTATTTTGAAGGCCTAAAGGATGAAACAAGAATAAATGATTGGGAAGAGGAAGATTTCTTTTGGCATACAAGGATTCTTCCAATTCTGCGCGACCTGGAAAAAAGTGGGTAACGCTGCTCTGAAAGGGTGTATTTTCTGTACTGTTTCTTGCAGGAAACATGGGACTCATTTTTGTTTACTACAAAACAGTAACAGTAATTGAGATATGTGGCCTTTTATGCTTCCATATGTTCAGTGACTTCACAGTGTAAAACTGGCCTGGGCAGTCTAGGTGGCCCTGCTTGAGCACAGGGGATGTACCAGATGACATTCAGAGGTCACTTCCAACCTTACCCATTCTGTGATCCTGTAAAAAAACCCAGAACTGGTTTGGAGAAGATGTTGTCTGATTAAATTACCTTATTTTAGACAGCATAGCTCTGCCAGCTTAGCAGTCAATGTTGAGCTAATAATTTTAAGAATAAGTACTGCACGGATTCACTGCTTTAACCATAGACTGTATTGAAGGTCTCAATGCATTTTGAAAAACTAAGGAAATCTTAATGAAAATTTCTACTTGTGAGTAAAGTGTTAGATGTGCCAGAAAAGTATGTAATGACTCAGAGTACTGAAGCAAAATTGAGTAAATTAAGTATAGCTTGAAAGGTTAAACTCTGGAATCCATTTTGCATTGAAGAAGTTGTTCAGTTGCCTTCTGTAGACACTGTATTTATTTGAATGGTGGGAATATAGAAAGTAGGCTTGTTTTTAAAAGTAGTTCTGTTTGACAGGATCTTTAGCAGTGTTTGTGATATCATGGTACAGATTAGAACTTTATTTGCATAGTTTTGCAGATGTTTGTGAGTATGAGACACCTGTACAGTGCTAAGAGATTCCTAATATATGTAATTGTTTAAAAAAGACAGGATTCTCATTCCCACGTCTGTCACTGATGTATAGAAAACTGTGATCAGGAAATTTGAAAACAGCTATGTAACTTCACATTTTCCTTGCTTAATGCCAAGATTGTCAAATATCAGCCACTGAGTTACGGTTTTGCATGGTGAGATGTTCTTTATTTGTAAGCAAAATAAAATTTAAAGGTAAAATCTAATCATGTCTTTCCCTTGTCATGAATGTAGCTAAGGAAAATCAGTTTTCATACCCCTTTTCCTCAGTATTCACTTGTTTTGGTTAGTGTATTGGGGTTTTTCTAGCTTTTATAAAAACCTGATTATGGCTTAGTTTTTCTAATAATAGATGACATTATCTAATGATACTTTCTCACCAGTTGGTTGAATGTAGTACTGCATATACCTTAAGACCTGAGTTTTGCTACCTGAATATTAACACAAATTGTAACTGAATTGCATCACTGCCTCCTGCAACTGTGTGATATATTGCTTTCTTTAGACTATTTACTGCATAATTCTTATGAATATTAGAATTCCATAATTGAAATGCTTTGAGTGGGTCTGTTGGTAATTTAATATTTTTTAATTTCAGGTGCAGTCATTTGCTTCATACCTTTTACCTAATTCCCTGCACATGAACTTAGGTTGCGTTTAGTTTTTCATATATTAATTGAGAAGCCTTTTTCTTCACCTTCCCATGCAAAAATATTTGCAGAAGCCTTTCCATGTAAAAACAAATCAGAAGTTAACCTGGAATTTATTGCCTAAATTCTTCTGAATATTATGTGCTTGAGTTGTTTATAATATGACCAAAAAAGACTCCTAAAGTCACTTTTTCTAAAGGAACAATTAATTTATTTTGTTACATTCCAATACTCAGGAGGTTAAGCTTTAAAATGCCCCATGGGATGAGTGATGAATAATTTTTGTTGTTAATTTTGATGAAATGGAGTGTAAGAACTTTCAGTTTTGGTTCCTTGGCACTCCTGTTTAATAGCTTACTGGAGCAGAGCATTTAGGATCATGCTAAATTTTGTTGAATTTTCTGTCATGATGGGAGTAGAAATGGAATAGTCATTGCTGTTCCTTGAGGGTGATGATTGCAAATTGAGAGCTTCCAGGCACTTCTCAGCCTGTGGGATCAATCCTTGAATCTGCCTACAGGTAGGGGCCTCAGATATGTTCCATCACAAGTGCTTTGCCTCCTTGAATATGACTTTATTTCAGCTGTGAAGTACCCCCAGAGTAAACGTTTATACTGCCAGTTCATGTGGATTTATGTGGGCTTTGTAAGTGTCACCTTATGAACAAAAGCAAATGTAAGAAAATCTTTAGAAAATCTCACTGTTCAATTTTAAAAATAGAAAAGACTTCTCCTTTTCTCTGTAAAGTAAACATCTACATGATTCCATTGTGTTGAGATGCACTCTTTGCAATTCTATTTTATTTTTGTATATTTTAAAAAGAGTCTCAGGGACTTGGGTGAGGAAGTAGATCACTTTTTTGTCAATAGGACAACATTCCACTCAAATATGTCTTACACCTCTACATTGAAGAGTTCTAGCAAGTTTTTACATTCACTTTTTTTATCCCAGCAAGTTTTGATGTATAAAGTTACATATATGGGGAGAAAAATGCTCCTTAACTATCCCTTTTTCACATCTAATGTTTGGTGGAGTCCTTTAAAGAATGTTTTCAGAGACACAGTTTCCTGGTAGACATTTGGTCAATCTGTTATTAAGCATCAAAGGTGAGTTTAATTTTAGCTGGAGGTATTATTTTGGCTCAATGATTTCTCAGCTTGAGTCTTCTTTTTTTGACAAAACAGAATAAAATTATTTCTGGGGATCACATTATCGTGTGAAGACATTTATGTGGTGTCTTATTTTTGTTGTTGTGCAAACTGTTCTTCATTTTGTTCTTCTGTGTCTTCATGTATTGAGATGCTCTGCATAAAGTGGCACTGATAACTAGTTTTTATTTTTCTCTCCTTTCCTACGCCCTTCAAGGAGAAGACAATATAGAACACCTTTGTCTAGCTTGTACCAAGCTCCATCAAGCATTGGGTGATGGAAATATGCTTGGAAAAAGATTTAAAAGAAGAAATATCCTTCTGAAGACATTATATAGACTTGTAGACCTTGATTCAGATCCACTTTCCCTGAAGCTGGCAAAGATTATTCTGGCTGTAAGTGTTTTGAAATGCTCTTTGGTAGAGTGTGAAGCTCAGAATCATGAATTACAACTTGCACTTAATTTTTCATTTCATACTTGTAAACTGTGTCTAAATGAACCCTTTTCCTAAGTGCAGTTTACTGCCACAGGGATACTAGTCTGCTGTCCATCTACATCAGCACTTGTAGCTTATTTTCTGCAGAGAAGTTACATCTGGGGGAGGAAGGAGGGGCACAAAATAGAATAGTTGGTGTATGGTGGCAGGAATATTGTATAGGCATGGAAAAGGTACAGTGTTCTATACTGGGATACACATGCAGGGATTTAAAAAACCCAGTGATTATAAAATGTACACATAGAAATGAAGCTTTGTTTTTAAACAATGTCTTGATCTTGTTCTGAGAATACCAAAATGGAGGTTTTTGGGGTTTTTTTTTGGAAGGTGAGTGAATGTAAATAATCTTTTGCTTTAATATTTCTGGTTAAAACTCTCAATTAACTTTTGTGCTTTAGAACCTCTTTGTTCATGTTCTACAAAGCATGTATGGACAGTCACTGGTGAAAGTGTTGTAGGCATCTGAGTAATGTGTGTGTGTGTTGAGGGAGTGGTGTTCTCTATAAGGTAGTGTAAGTTATGTTATTGAGAAGATACACCTATTGAGAAGATGCACCTACATACTTAGATACCACATAGATGTTAAGTGGTACTTATTAAAGAGAAAGGTTTTTCTGTGTAATCTTTCAAAAACCATGAACCTACAAGAAATTGCCCTTGAAATGCAGAGGAAAGGAAGAGAGATGTCATTGTATTTTTACCACCTTTCCTTCCCTTTCACAATCTCTCATTGTAAGATCATGTTTTCTGCTAGCTGAGAGTAAATTTCATTATGGCTTGTACTGTTGTACTGGAGGTCTTTGTGGTAGGGCCATAGATGCCAAACCACTGACTTCCATACAGAATTTCTTTGCAAGGGAATTGCAGAAAAAATCCTGCAAGTTATTGATATACTACCTGTTTATATTAATACATTAAAAGTTAAAAACTTATTTTAAAGACAGCACAGTTTGCTAAATAGAGTTTAAAACACCTAAGTTTCAGGTTATTTCAGTTTCCTTTAATTCTGCATACATCTTCAGTTTGTTTTAATGTATTGTTAGGATTTCAGCTGTAAGTTAATAGTTGTGTGAGAATACAAGTTTGCCATGGTGTCTGAACTTGTAGAATGTTAGGTGCATTTTTGCATGCAGATTTTAGTTGTGATTTTATGTCTTTTAATTTTTTTGCAGATGAAAGTAGATGGAAAAAATCTTCTTAGTGTTTGCAAGCTAGCATTTAAAATTTGTAGGAACGAAAAAAATTATTTCATCATTCAAAATGATACATTATTGGGTATGTATTCTTTCTTGTCTGTAAGTTAGATATTGAAATTCAACAGTTAAAGTTGTTCATCTTTGAAACATTTTCAGAATGAAAAATTCTGAAGAAAGACTAAAAATTGCCTGCCTAGTTCAAACTAATAGCTGGTCTAGTCCAGTATTCTCTGTCTAAGTAGTGATGGGGATGGGGAATGCTGTTCAGGGGGAGCCCAGGAGCCTGTGTGTTTTCTGTGATCTGTTTCCCCAGCACTACTCCAGCATTCAGAACTGTTCTATTCTATTAGGGACATTGGATGGTGCATCCCTGCCTAATCCCTTTTTAGTTTCTGTTTATATGTCTTTTGTTCATTCATTTGCCTTTTTGGATTTTCTGATTCTGTCTCCCTCTATGCCATAGAACAATTTCCGGAAATTCTCTTGTGCTGTTTTAAATCTATATATTTTTCTTTATCCCCCTGCTTGTAGTTTTACAGGATTTTTAAGAGTTTGTACAGTCAGTTTACCCTTCACCTTCAGGATTTTTTAAAAGGCAGTCTTATCACATATCTCTGTCTTCTCCTTTTCAACACTGAGGCATCTCAGCCTCTTAGCTCTTTGAGCAGATATTGTGTCATTCAGTTGCTTTATAAGTCCTTTTCTCTACCTTCTCAAACTCCAGTGGATCCTTCTTGAGATTTATGGAACAAAACTATCTGTAGCATTCGAACTGTATCTGCAGCAAATTTTATAGAAATGAGATAATGCTGACTGTGGTGTTGGCCATCATCAGGGAGGACCTTGAGAATAGTCACTGTTTTTTAAATATTTTTTATAGCTGCTGCTTCACATTGAGCCAGTGCTTTTGCAGAACTGTCAGCAATGGCTCTGAAGATTGTTTGTGTTAGCAACAGTGTTTGTGTCATGCACACCCCCCCTTGCAAATATGAGAAATATGAAGAAAATGAAAGTGTGCAAATGATACTCAGTATTGAATGAAATCATTCCTTTCATTAAAACTTTTGTATGTTTTATTAATGTAGGCCTTGGTCTTGCAAGCAGTTATTGCATCTATATTGGTTAAGGCATATGTGTATATTTGCTTAAATAGTTGAGAGTATCCATGGTCTTAACGTTTAGTACACAACTGTTGTCAGAAATGAAGATACGCTGTTCACGTGGTAAGGAAAGAACTCACAGGAAACAGAGCAGCTGGGTTGACTTTGCATGCTGAAAAGTACAGTTTTGTAGAGATCAGCATCATACACAGCATTTGAATAAGTCGTATTTTTGTCTCATTTCCATGAGACCTCATTCACTTTTCTTTCACTTGCTTTTCTTCCCCTGTATTTTAAAAACTAGTGACGGAAAGAGCATTGGTAGGTGTTGTTTTATTTATTTATTCACTCTTTGTGTTTTGGATCCACCTTGTCCCAGAAGAAGATGTGACCCTGGCCTATCATCACAACTGCCCAGATCCCTGTTACAGTTGCTGGGTTATAGATTCAATTTCTTTTTCCTCTTCTGTCCCTGTGAACTATTTATATGCAGTGCAGCATCTCCAGTAGAAGAAATAAATTAATCCTTCATCCCAGAATAGACAACTGCTGTTCAAGACCCTGTTTGATACTGTGCAGAGCAGGAACCCAAGTTCTCACATTGCCACAACCCAAGTGATTTAATTGGTGAGGGTGGGAGTTTGGACAAGAGCCTAGAGTGTGTACTTCATTCATACATATATATATATATATGTACCATTTCCCACAGCTTCAGCTGAGACAGAAAAAAAATTTAAATCTCTTCAGTTTAATGATATAGGAAAATGTTTTTATTCAGCTGGAACTGAATGGAACATAGGAAGCAGAAATAAATATCTCTTTGAATCAGTTACTAGAAGTTTAAAAGTATAATGTTGGCTAGGATTACTCATTTATTTAACATACCCCACTAAATTCAGAATGTCTCAATTTGACTGCAAAAGATACCTTGGCCATGTATTAACTGTAAATTTTAACATTTCAGATATCTGACAGCGGTTGCACAAAACAAAACTTCTATGTCAACTTTACCTACATAAAAAGTAGATCTAAAAAGACTATGAACAGATTTCAAATGTGAGAGTTGAATTAGGCACCTGTGCCTTTTAGTGTTCAATTTGAGATGCTTGAAGACATTTGATTTTTAAGGAAGTAGTGGGAAGTACACAAAATTCCAGGCACACACAATTCGTTTTGCAAATCTTGACTGAGAATTTCAATGATTCCTGCTATGTGTTTACAGCTTACACTGGTTCTTGAAGTCTAGAAGAACAAAAGTCGGGCCCATTCTCTTATTCATTGATAATTGTTTCTTGGTTTCAGTCCAAATATCCAATTTTTCTAGCCCACTTGTTAGAAATGTAAGAGTTCAATCTGAGGGTGTTTTCCAGTTGTTAATCTCTTTAATGACTGGATTGTAGCAAATATAAATTTTAATATTAGACATTCTGAATGATAATTTTCCTTTCAGATTATTTGTTGCAGGTTCTGTGGAATGAAGATCTACAAACAAACCACGAAGCTCTCGTCTATTGCATGGCAGCTATAAAAGTCATGTCTGAAAAGGAAGTACTCCGTTTTAAAATGGTCAGCAAAGGAGCTATTGAAATGTTTCTGGAATTAATGAAGCAGATTAATAACATAAAAGAACATGACACATATTTCTCCAAGTTGGGCCACTTATTAGTCCAGGTTAGCATTTACTTTTATTTCTAAAAGTATGTACTTCAAGGGCAAATTAAAAATTTAATTAGAGGAGATAAGCTAACCCTGTGTGCTACTGACAGAGTTGTACCTATATTTCAATAGATTTATTTTTAAGAAATTAAATGAAGTTGTTCAGACCTAATGTAATTACCACAGATGTTTGTGTGTAGTCAGTTTTAAAGGCTTTAGAAATTCTGAAGTTGATAGAAATATTTTTATACCTAATAAACCAGTTTCTCATATTGTGCTGACAATATTCTGGATATTCTGAATACTGTAGTAAACAGATAAAAATGTGTTCTCTATCTAAATTCTTGAAACGGAAATAATAAATACAAACTGGTTCTGCAATACTCTAGGAGATTACAAAAATATTTTTTATTACAAGAATAATGGCTTTTTATTACAAGAATAATATATTTTAAAAATATATTTGGAAATAGCTGTGTTTCTTTGACAAAGTGTTTTTGAAGATCTGCAATATAAGGAAAAAGTAGTTGCAAGAGCAAACACGTTTTGAATCTTTTGAAGGCAGCAGGCTCAAAACTGTTTTCACATACAAAGCACCTTGATAAGCGGTGGCTCTGAAGACTGATCTTTGTCCCTAAAACTTTTTAAACCCATGTATTTTAGAAACACTGTGGGATGGATATTGTGTTTACCAAGGATTTACCAGGTAGATTCCTGGCATTTGTTTGGAAGTTACTGATGTAATATTTAGTGAATGGTTGAATTGTAAACTTTCAGGTACATCATAGGAAAATACACTGGACAATTTTCTGAGGTAGATTTTGCACTAGGTTTGTCAGCTAATTATGCCAGATTTCTTTAATTCTCTACTAATTTATAAGCATAGGATTTTATACTGCTTGAAATTATATGAGAAAACAGCCTACATCATCACATTACTATTGGTTATTTTTGTCTGATTTTTTAAATCTTAGTAATAAAATTAATAAATCAGTTTATTTCCAGGATTTTGACTATCTGCCTGATATTCCTCACAACTTTGGAGGGATATTTTTCTTCCATTATGTGCCTGGGATAAATTTAGGTTTTTTTTAATCAAGGGTTTAGTTTGCAAATGTGTAAAAGGAAAATGTTGTATTTTATGCTTTCTTTTAAAAATTCCTCATATCTCTGCTTTTTTCAGTACAAATGGAAGTGTAGCAAAACTGCTTTGTACTGTTTGAATAGACTGGCTGTTTCTAAGAAGTTCTTGAGTGTTTTCTGGAGAAGTCAGTACTGACAGCTGTCTCCTGTTGAGATTGCACTTTCACTTGTTTGTGTTCTCTTCTATAATAGTACAGATACTTCGGTTCTCTTCTTCTTGTGAGAAAAGTAGTGATTCCTACTTCTATGGGATTCCTGTGTGACTTTCTCATATTGGTTCCTTCAGCAAATCCATGTGCACTACTTCCTTCATGTGAGTTAATTGATCAGTCATCATAGACAGATGAACGAGTAGTTCTGGTTTAGGGATGGTTGGAGAAAGTCTCTTCTGTGATTGGTGTCTTCAGAATAAAGTTTTCATAACATACTGCATCTTGTAGCAACAGATCAAATAGCCAGTGATGTACAGAAATAATGTCTTCAGTTATAGAAAGCAAACTATATTGGAGGAGAAAAACACTTTAAATAGTCACAGTGGTCTCTGAAGGAAGCTCTGCTGTCTCTTAACCTTGGTAACTGAAATATCCCATTTAGTTGGGACCAGCTCTTCATTCTTTAACTGTATAATTGCACAATCACCAGATGGCAGTGTTATACATAATCTTGCTTGATCCTTTTTGTGGGAATAAAGTCCCTATCTGATTTCTTCATTCTTCAAATTTTTTTATTATTATTATTTTTTTTTTGCAGAAGTCATACAATGCAAGAATAAAAATCTTTGTAATATTTTTTTCCCTTAATAGAGGGCATGAAACCAGGGTCAACTTTGATTAATTTAGTGTTGCTTAACCTAACAGTCTGTTAATATTTATACAAAATACAGTAATGCTTACTCAAAAACCAAGATTTTTGAAGACTCACTGTCAAGACTTAATAACTACTCCCTGTTCCTTAATTGAAAAGCACTTAAATGTCTTCTCCTTTAAAAATAGCATTTGTCAGCAGTTAAATTTTCTGTTTGGGTGAATTTGATCTTTCATATGGCAACATAAGGATTAGGACTGGTAGGGGTTGCTAAAGATAATTGTTATGCATTTCTCCCTGAAACATAGGGTCTGCTTGAAGCTATCACAATATCTCTAGAATTCAGCTGCTGTCTGGCTAGCTTCTGTTATTTTTCAAACTGTACTCTTCAGGTTTCAGTTGTACATTAACTGTATTTTATGGATATATACTTCTGTGTGCTGCTGAATGCTGTTTTCTTACACATTTAAGTGTATATGTTATTTTGCACTGCTTTTCCTTTCCAATCTGTCTTTGTCTGAGGGTGGCTCTTGATAGAATTTACTGCTTGAGGATTTTGAACCATCTAACTGTATCAAGCATTGAAAAGTTTTACTCTCTTTTTGGAGACCTCTGTACCATCATCTATTGATATTTTTTCCATTATCCAACATGTAGGTCTCTTTGCTGCAGTGAAAGCTCTTGTCTGGGTTTGAACAACACTTCTAGTATGTGCCTTATCTTTCATTTCCTTTATTGTGTCTATTGAAGCTTATCTAGTATTCAAAAATATCATTTTTTGAATGATAGGCTGACTGTGAACATCTTGTATGTAAGCACTGAATGGAGTTGCCTGTCTCTATTCCATGTGACAGGAATTTTTCTACTAAAACTTTTGAAAAGCAAAGTATTTGGTCAGAATATATTTATTAAAAGGTATCTCCAGTATTGTGTTGATTTTTGAAGCATCATGACTAGAGAAGGAATATGCATCTGGAAATTTTTTTTGCAGTTGTTCGGTTAAAATAATAGAAAATCCCAGGTGTCTTCTTAAAATATAAATGATGTGAAGCAAATGGCTTCTGTATGTTCAGATGCTCTGTATTATGAATATAGTATAAATTGCATTTTTAGTGCTGAAGTTAAATCCATTCACATATCACATTATCACATTTTTTCCCCTCTATGCCCTGCTTCTCCATTTTGACATGTTGCATCTCCTGTTGCTCCATTGCAGAGCATTATGGGGTTCCTGAAGATTTGTACTCTGCTGTCAAATTTCTTGAAGTAGGACAGCAAATTTGAAAGCTACTGGAGAATGGACAGAATATGCATAGAGTCCTATGTGCTAAAGCTGAAACACAACATCTTAACCTGCTCTTTGTTGAGAGTTTTTCTTTAAAATTAGCAATTACATATCACTCAATAAGCAGTCCAATTTAATGATAAAATGCTTAATTTCCAGAATTTTCTGTGATAGGAAACAATTTGAACAGATGGTTTTTGTGCCTTATCAAACTACATTCAAAGCCAAATTGAAGTTAATAACTTCACTCTGAATAAGAAAACTTTGAAGAATTCCCATATTCACTTAAGACTGAATGACTTCACATTCATTTTGTAGTAAGTTCTGGATTAGATCAAAATTAACTTAAATGTCATTGCCTGTCTGACCTTGTCATTTGAATATTCTTGCCTTGGAAGAGAACCAGAATATTTCAAAATATGCAATAGGTGATGCATTTGTACATCTAACTCTGGTAGCAGAGTTAGATTATGCTTTAAGCTCCTTGAAATAGAACAGTATCATCTGAAAATATTTTGGTTTCTTCAAATAGTCCTGAGCACTTAAGCTTTTCATTTTTATATTGTTCAAACAGTGGATTTCTTTTATCATGATTAATCTTTAATTTTTTAATTGAAATAAATCTGATTGTGTTTTAAAATCAATTCATTTTAATTTGCAGTTTGCAGTTACCATCAAAATATATATTAGTATTTTCAAGATTTAAATATAAATTTGCAATACTAAGATTTATTGAAGTATTATGCAAAAAAATTACTTTAACCATCCACAGCATTTCACCTAATTCCACTTGGTACATGGCTGTAGGCGTGCAAGACTTTAAAGCATATGAAAGATCACGTGTCCCTCATAGAAGGAGGTTACATGCAGGCAAAGACCAGTGTCAATCTTGCATTTTCAAGCAGCTATCCCAAACACACCATGTTGCTGCCTGCAGGTTGGCTGTTGTTATGGCTTGGTTTATACCTGCCTGCAGTGCTAAGGGGCACAGCTTTGGGTGCTGCAGATGAGAGCTGGCCTTTGCTGCACTGTGGGCAGCTGTGGCTAATGCCTGTCCCTTACCTGTGACAGCTGTGGCTAATGCCTGTCCCTTGCCGTGCGCAGCTGGCAGCCACCCTGCGGATCCTGGCCAACTGCGCCCAGGCGCGCCGCCAGCTCAGCCCCGGCGCCGCCATCCCCGAGCTCTGCGTGGCGCTGGAGCAGCGCAGCGGCGACAAGGACGTGTGCATCTGGATTGTCAGCGTGCTCAGGTACGTGGGGACGGAGTTCTCTGTGCAGGCAGCTCCCCTGCCTCAAAGGAGGCACGGCCAAGCATTGAGATGGGAAGATTTACATTGAACTCTATTTAAAAAAAGCTCTATGTAGCTTGTACTGATGTTGCATGTTAATTGTGTCTCTATTAATGCTTACAGAATAGTTTAATTGTAGCCATACAGATTTGGATTCACCATCCCCATGAAAAATACTGTGTTGTATTGTGGCATTCTTTAATCCCACCGATTCTGATTGAGTTTTTTAAAGTACCTTTTCTTGCATCTTAAAGCTGCATAAGTTATTAGGTATTTATTCATCCTCGTTTAGGCCATGTTTGAAAAAAAAAATAATGAGAGAAATTACACAAGGAACTGTGTATTGTGAAATAAAGTACACAAGAGGGAAAATGTGACCAGTGTTCATTGTTTTGAGCTGTTACAGAGTGTTTGAGGAGATTAAGCCCTGGGATCAGGGCTTGAGTGTGCAGATGGAAGTGCTGAAAGAATCTCAGTTTTATGAGCAGCCAGCGGCTGCTTCCCAAGTTGTGCTTTTTAGAGGGAGATCAGTATGGGTTAGTCACCACAAAGATAATTTTGTAGTCTGAATAGTTTCTCAGTCAAAAGTCTTCCAGTTTCCAAGTATCAGCTTGCAATATTCAGTGCTAGATAGACTTGCAAACAATGTAAGGATTTGGAAGAAGTTGTGAAATTGGCTGTTGGTAATTTCAGGAATAATGGGATTAAGTGCAATTTATGAATGATGTGCTGGATGAAGTATTTGCCATTGCTGCTTTGTTACTGCATTGAGTCATGCTGCCTGTGGCTCTGTGTTCAATGAGATTCTGGTATGGACTTCTCCTCCTGTTCAGATGCTCCAAATTATCCATCATGTTCTCCTCTCTGGATGAGGTTGAGTTGTGCTTTGAACAGTGGCTACATAAGGGGCTGGCACTCCTTCCTCCCCAGAGCTGAAACCAGGCAAATCTGCTCCTTTGCTGTTTGTGCTACCTGTGAAGCATGTGAATGGCTTCCCCAGTTCCATGCTACCTTCTTCACATCTGTCTCTAGTTTTGTTCCTAAAACCGAGCTCTAGCAATGATTACAGCACTTTGAGCATATTTACTTCTTCTGAGGAGGGAGCATTTCTTTTACTTTGAAAATGCCATGAAAAGTGGGATAATGAGTTTGTAATTAACTGTAATTGATACTTACACTGTAATTCTGATAAGGACATTTGCTTGGTATAGAACTCAATATAGAGAAAAAAATAACTTACCTTACTTAAAAGTTTCCTACTGCTTCAATTTTTTTCCTTAAGATTAGAATGACATGCTCCAAGAATACAAATTAGCCATAAAAATCAATTTAATTAGCTCCCTGGAAATTGCAGTTGCAAAAAAAAAAGTATATGTGTATATATACTATACAAGTTTATACTATGCAGTAAAGAGCTCAGATTTGAATTTTGTTTTGTCTTCTAGTAACACAGAATGATTATTCTCTCAATCAACTTTAGGCAGTTTCTTTGTAGAGAATACATCTATTATGTATTGTATGTAATTGTATGTAATACATACAATCTATTCAGATTATTCAGATTATTCATTCAATAAGACTGTAAATCTTCCTCTAAAAAGTTGTAATTGAACATCAACACAGATCTTTTTCGGTTTTGACTACATAAGAAGTGAGATGTTATCCTAACTTGTTCTATTACTGCATCTTTATGGTGTGACCAAAGCATGTCCAGTTCCCTGTTTTTCCCTGCAGTGAGCAAGGTGAGCAGTGTAGGACTGGAGCAGCTGTTAGGAAATGTGCAGAGATAAAACCTGCCAGCAAAGAGGCACAGTCTCTGTATTGCTGGTGAGAGATGTGTTCTCTTAGTGCTGTTGCTGGGCTCTACTAGATGTACACTAGGAAGGGATTCCTTATTTCCTCTCCTCTGATTCCCACATCATCTTGCAATTCCAGCTCTCCCCTTTAGCACAAGGAAGGGCTGGTGTCAGCATACTGTGCCCATATGGCAGGCAGGTTGAGAAGCTCCTTCTGTTGTGCTCTTACGTAACTGCACATGCCTCTGCTAGAAGAGTATTGGCATTCACTTCATTTGTTGGAAAATACAGCTCTGAGAATCAAAAGTGACTTTCTAAAAAATGTTTTGTGGAAAAAAGTCCTTTCGTTCATTTATTTTTTTTTTTCCTTATAGCAAACTTTCCACCTACAATGACTTCTGTGCAGCTTTAGCAGACTGCTCCAGATGTTACATTGTATTTTTAGCCCTGCTAAACAAATACCAGAAGCAGCAGGTCAGTTTTTCATCTCTTGATTTTTATATATTAATCCTCTGATATGTCTGTGTATTATTGTGTATAAGCTTGTTTTCAGTGTCCTACTTTTATGCATTTACCAAATAAAAATTTTAAATGGTTGACAGCATTTCTAAGTAGTAAATAATTGTAATGAAACAATTTAGTTTAAAAATTCAAAGCAGTACAGCAGACAGTTGATTAACTTGTCTATCCATGTGTAGAAGCAGTCCTTTGAGTACCTATTTTTTTTTCCTAGTTTCAAGAAATATTTTTTAAAGCAAAAAGCTATTTGAATATTTAATTGTTGAAAAATGTTGGGCTTCCTCCTGTCCTCCTCACCTGCAAAAGAAGTGTGACTTTTCTAGAGCTAAGCAATGTGAAAACAGAGGACAATTGCTGTCATGTAAAAAGGGGAGATTTCCTCAACCCCTTTGTGTTTAACTAGTCTGTGACAGCCCCAGGAAAGCTGTGACCCTTGTGCCCAACCAATCTGTCAGTGTCCCATTACGGAACCCTTCACTGAGCAGTCCCACTGGACCTGTTCCATTGACTTATTCAGGGTCACACACCTAACAGAGGAACCTCCTCCTCCTTTACCCACGATGGGCAGAGGGCAGTGCCCTTGGAGGACTTGCATTAACAGTTGGCAGACTGACACTCTTTATTAATAGAATTGTGAAAGGTTAAGGTTTGAGACTTGCCAGTGATAGTATCAGGCTGAAAAAGGTATATTCAAAGCAGTATACTAATTTAAGGCAATGTACTAACAAGCTCTAATCCACAGTAAAAGCTGGTCTGAGACAATCATTCAGCATGCAGAGATCACATTTCTTACACAGGCATCCCTAAGAGGGAGAAGACAGAGTCAGCTTGTCGACCGATCCCTGAAGTTACAATGGAGTCTTCCCCCATTTCTCCCCATTCTTAACTCATTTTTATACTATTTCTTTATGTTTAGGTGGAACTTGAGTGGCTTTGGTAATACCTCTTAACCAGTGAAGGGTGGTTGTACTAGGGGGTGGATATCTCAGGATAGTACCCGAGATAACCTTGGGATGGGGACAGGAGTTAGTCCAAGTAGAATGATTTCATAACAGTTGTTGTGCAGGACATTTTCCTTTATCTCCCTTGGTTTTCAGCTGCTGTGGGGCTTATCAGCTAGGAAGTACCACTGAGTTCCCCCCTCTGCAAGGGTTTCAACACAGTGCCTGGCCGTGGTGTCTCCACTCTGCTCCACCCTCTGTTGGGTCCCCCTTAGATTGCACAGTGTGTGGGAGGTCAGATATGCTGACCATGTTTCATCCAGGGAGTACAACTGTGTTTTTCCCTGTGACTTCCATACCATTATCTTCTTACGCTTAGTCATCTTCCCATACTCTCTAACTTTTGATATCTAATAAAATATCAAAATGTATCTCTCCTTTACCAAAGAAAACCACATGCCTGGAGTACTGCATTTGGGATGTTCATGTAGAAATAAATGTTTAGACTTTGTCAAAATGCCTTGTATCATGAAGTAAAATTCTGAGTATAGTTGCTGCCAACTTTATTAGAATTCCAAGGGTGTTGCTCTATTGTCCTGCTGTATCACAGTGATCTTTCTTACATTTACTGAAGATAAAACTCAGAGCTTGGTGCAGGATCCCAGTCTTACAGATTGATGCATTGGTAAGAGTGGAGTGCCCTATGTAGGGCAAAGTACTCAGCTCTATTGCCAGGTGAGTTTTAAGAAGAACAAAAATTTTCTCTGAAGCATACATGTTCAAATGTGGAACAAGATTTCAAAATAGGGAATACTAAATTACATTAAGATCAGTCTTAAAAGTAAGGAATTTTCTTGGCTGGTCCAGAATCTGAACTAGTTTGAGATAATTTAGTTATCCTATACAATTTATCCCAGGGTTAGTAATTCTTGGGGATTTGTTGGAAGGAGGTCTTTTGGGTTGCTGTCATTAAAGGGAGTTAATGAAGGTAACTGGATTGGCTATACTGAACAATGTTCTTTCTCCTGCCAAATGCAAAAATAATTTGTTCCTTTCCTGTTTACCAGCATCCCTGTTTTCGGTGATAATGCACATGGAAGAGGAACAAAGATTAAGTTGTTTCTCTTCTAAATATCTGCTGTAGCATATCTGAGTATTTCTAGGTTCAGATTGCTCTTGCATCGTTTAGTCTTCAAAGACACTTTAGTAAAATACTATGTAAATAATATGTAAATAACATGAAAAATGTCAAAGGCATTATATTTTCCTAGATTTATAGTTGTTCTTCCTTGTGACCATTGTAATAAAAACTCAACAAATTAAGAAACTGAGATTAGGGATCTTTAATTAAGTATCACCTTTCTCCCAAACTTAATCTGTCATATTAATGGTAGCTTTTCTAGGTTCCTGAGATAATAGCTTTGTGTCATAATGAATTGTAGGTTCATATCTACTTCAAATTGTTCGTTATTATTTAGTATTCAGAATTTAGCTTCTTATTTGGCTATTATTATTATTTTGGTCCTAAAATACGTCTTTCTTCACAAGGTTAGCATTGCATTTTGTGTTAAATTGTCAGTTGTTTTATCAAAATACAAATGAGTAAAGAAGTAGCTTGTGTATTAGAAAAAAACTTAGCTATTACATTGTGTTGATTATATTTGCAATGTCTTCCAAAAAAGTATTTCTTACTGCAGTTTTGAAACAAGCATGTAATTGTCAGTTGTCAGCTTAGTGAAGCCCTGCAGAAACATAAAGAAGAACATAGATAATGTAATGCACCACTTTTTCTGTAGTATATAATAAACACTTTAGCTGTGTGGAGTGCAAATGTTTTTCCTGAGGTGTAGTTGGCACTGCTAATCTTTTTTTCTTAAATGCTGACAGCTAATGAGTTACAGTATGAGTTGGTATGTGTTGAAAATAAATGAAGTAACAGCAGTGTGAGTAAAATTGTTTGCTGTGGGAAGAATCAAAGAGAAGGAAAAATCATCATTATTAAAGCATTAGAAATCTTCAGGACTAAAAATTGGTATGTGAAGAAAGGAAGTGTGTCTGTCTGTGCGTGTGTTTTTCTGAGTTTTCAGGTTGCAGAGTTTGTGGGATCAGGTTTTTTACTGGCAGTCATAGCAGCTAGAAACATAGGGGAAGAAATAGAGGAAAAACAGCATTCAGACTTTCTCAAGGGCTGTCATAATTGTGACTTTAAAGATAATTATTAAATACTGTAAAAGTAAAAATGGGAGCACTGGAAATAGGCTTAATGACTTGCACCCACACCGCACACTGAATTCCACAGTTGCAACCCAAATAGGCTCTGTTCTTTGCTCCACACTGCAGTTAACGCTCTTTTCCCTTTTTTTCTCAGCTCATTTTCTCTCTTGGGTGAAAGAGTCAGAAGGAATGGAAGACTAATGATTCAACTGTATGAGGCAGACTTTTGGGGAAATTGAGTTGGCAAGACTTGATAATACCATGTGTCATAGTCTTAGGTAGGGAATACAGAAGACTGGAAAAGCTGAATCCTCTGGGCAGGACTGGCAAAGTCAACTGGGCTTTTACACACATCTGAAGTAGGTATTCATGGTTGGCTTTGGACCTTACTTGTGTGGAGCAACAAAAAAAAATCCTTGCTGGTTGCCACATGCTGTCAAAACTGTCAGAAGTGTTTGTGTAGAGCCTCTGTCTTGCAGGATAAGCTTTGCAGGATTCTGTTTCTAGCCAGCATTGTAGACTTTTGCCCATCTGAAGAAATCTTCTGGAAGGGTTCTGTTCCACTTTCCCACATCATTATAATCTCTCAGCTTTCCAGATAAACTGCATCAAGAGTGACTTTCTCAGGCTGTGGTTAATGTCACAAGTCACAAGCAGGCCATGCTTTTGGAACAGAGACATTGCCTAAATAGGACAGTAGCTTCTGTCAATAAATCAGGCACTACCTGAGCTTAGGTGGCATTTTGGGGCCCTGCCAGCTTCCCTGTAATGTTTTATCAGTTTGGAGTCTGTTTTCAATGTAAGAGCAAAAACACTAAAATTTATATAGAAGCCTGCTGTATAGAAAGGTCCCCTTACACTTTAGTGTATCCTAATTTTGAAATTGAGAAGCATTTGTTTAAGAATCTGACATCACTTGACATCACTAGATGCAGTAATTGCCTATTCAGCAAAATGATAATTACATTGGATCACATGAGCAGTTCATGCAGTCTGCTCTTGATACTCTGCAATGGTGAAATTCAGATGTCTAGAGAACAGTAAAAAATGGAGCAGGCTTGTGTGATACTTCTTGTGTGTACTTACCAAACCTCCAACTCTTTCCAGTTTGGAAACACCCTCAGCCAGCTGTGTGTGAAGTAAACCTCAGCTGATTTCTTTTCTGTGAAATTCTACAGTCTCTCTTCCACCCCATATAAAGTTTTAATGTGTTAAAGATCCACTGACAAGGAGTTGCCTAGCAAGCAATTCCTTTTGCCTATTCTGAATTTTGCCTTTACTGTCTTTATTTGATGCCTTCTGGTTCTTGTATTGCAAATGTGGTGAAGCCCATTGTTCATTTCACACTTCCCTTGATTTTCTAGGTGTTTATCCTACTCTCTTCAAGTTACCTCTTTTCCATGCTGAGGAGTCCTTGCTTACGTAGCCCTTTCTGATAGAGACTGTTCCATGCCATGGTGTATCCATGTTGCTTTTCTCATAACATTTTCCAATCCTGACTCCTGTCTTTTTTTAAGAGGAGGAAACCAGAACACAGCACTTAAGATATGGCCATATCATAGATATACATGCCTGCATAAATTTATTTCCCAATAATTCCAAATAATTTATTTGCTTTCTTGATCTGTGGTCATTAAACTCTGTCATTAACTCCGGGATTGCTCTATAGGTGGATATGGTTGGTTTAAAGGCTGTAATTTTATACATGAAGATATGTTTGCTTTGTTCTTTTTCATGGATCCATGGAATATATATATATATATATATATAATATATATATTCATGCATTTAAATTTCATT